AGGTGTCTGACCCACGACATGCAGAATCATTCACAGAGTCCAAATATGGTAAGAAAAAAATTTTTTTATTTGTAAAACATGAACTAAAAGTGCAGCAGGAAAATCCAGCTAGGACTCTGGGGGTGGGGGGTGGGGTTGGGGGGTGGGTGGGGTGGGGGGGTATCTAGAGACACGGGGAAAGTCAGTGGAAGTTGACGGCCAGGACAAATAAGGTACGGGTTGGGACTTACGGTTCGTGATCCAGGGGAAACCTGAGAAGGGGGGAGGCTTGGTCTGGGGGGAGTCGTGAGGAGTGGGAGATGGAGACTCACACTTGCTGGTTCACAGGAGACTAGGCTTCCAGGTTGCTGGAGGACTGGAGGAGCTTTGCACATAATAGAGAGCGGGATCCGGTAAGGAAGGTGGTCGGTAAGGAGTGGACAGCCAGGGACCGGCTGGAGACAGAGGGACTGGTCCGGTAGGTTGCGGGACGGGGCGAAAGGTGGTGGTGGAAATCTGGAGAAGAGGAAAGTCACAAAAATCAGGCAGGCTCGGAAAAAACACAGGAACTAGAAAACTGGCTAGAAGTACGACGTAGAAGGTATCTATACAGATTCTTCAGAAGCAGGCTCGGAGTGATAGGCCGTGTTCGAGTTGAGCTGCGCCTCGCCTGGAAAACAGACGAGAGCAGACGGAAGCAGCAGGGGGAGTGGCTGAAAGCCGGCGTTTAAGTCGGACAAAATTTTCTGCATGTGTAGCTCGCGGGTGACGATGGCTGAAGATATTGCGTTAGTGTTCACACTTGTTTAATTTTCAATTTTAACTCTGGTGCCTGTTAGCAGCTGAAACACATCCTCACGTGCTTGTGGATATCATATATTGTATATGAAGACATGACTGTAATAATAAGTAAAGGTTATCAGCTGTAGGTTTAGTGTGCTCATAGGAAACATGACAAAAGAAAACAAAACACATTTCTCTTTATGGCCTATATAGTTGTCATCATCAACGTAACACGATTTACAGAATACATGTGACCAACTAACATTTCATGTTCTACCACCAGATGTTTGGATCAAAATATGAACCAATCAGATCTTAGATCAGGTGAGAGCCAGGCGTTTCCTGTCATCCCCTAGGTTTTGCAGCCGAGGGAGAGCAACTGCAGCGCCTTGCTCCAAAATCTACAGCCGCCTTGATCTCACGAGGTTATCGTTGCCTACGTATGCATGACGTCAGAGCAAGTCGGCATCAAGTCGGACACAAATCTAACCGGCATGCACTGCTCGCCGATCACCGCTGATCTAATCTGCGCAGAACTGGCTTATCTCGAACACAGCCAATGACACACACGTTGAGCTAATCATCCAGCGAAGGAAGATGTCTCCCAGTAGCTTATATGTCCCTGGCCAACTAATGAGCAGATGGACTGCTGCTGGTCCACTCCTTGACTCACCCACCTGCAGGAGAAGCTCAGAGAAGGTTTGGCAGTGAGAGAACTCACCCCAGACCATGACAGAATGATATTGGGCTACGACTCAATAAGTTGAAATTCATTACATTTGCGAATGACAAATTTGTTTTCTTCAAGTTTGATCATTTGAGAATTGTTGGCACTGGAAGAAAGCTTGATTAGGTAAAAGACTGGTTTGACATAAATAAATGATCACTTAATGGAAGTAAAACAAAATGTATCTTTTTGGTGTGTCAGAACTAACAGTGAACTAAAACTGAAATTGAAAGAGTGTATGAATTTCAAATCTTGGGAGGTACATACAAATGCATAAATTTTTTTTTCAAAAACTACTAGAATTATTTACAAAACAAGTGTTTTTACTATCCACCCTCATCCACTCAGGATTTATTTGTTTTAAGAGACGAAAAATACAACTTAATAGAGACAAATATGTTTCATAGAGGTAAAATCAAACTAATGTCCATGTGTGGTTTTTTGGGCGCCAAACTGAGGAAAAGTCTTGTGTTGAGTAGAAATTATGTAAATCTTTGTCGTATTTAAAAAAAATACTGAAAGAGAAAATAATTAAGAGCTAACTAAATCAATATGGGAATGAATGAACATTAAGAATTGAAACTAAATTGTGTTATTTTGTTGCTTTTTTGTCTTTTCTGATTTTGTGTTGTGATCTGTAAAGTGATCTTCATGTAGGAGAGGCAAGTAACATGCCTCAGCTTCGGCCCATTCATCTGCTTTTCGGTTACAGTGATTGTACATTCTCTTGGTGAGATCAATATCTCATGTTTTATTTTAATTTTAAATTGTAACAGAAACAAGTGTAAGTATCTATCATGAATAAAATGAGATACTTAGTATTAACATGAACACATTTTTATTATGAGCATTAACACATGGCACCATCAAGGCTGTTGTGTGTCAACATTTAGCCAGTAGTCCCAACCTCAACCCCTCCACAGTTGCACTTAAAAATAACTATTACATAAGCTCTCAATCTGAGCCTTGAGCTGCTGGATATGTCTGAGATCTCAGATGTGTGAAAAATAAATTGTATTTTGAAGTGTCTCAGGTTAGAAGTTAAATCACTGAATCTTCTAGGTGTTGAATATGATCATGATGTGTTTTTGGGAAAAACATGACAATATCAGGAAAATACTATAATTCATTAAATAATTTTTATTTGAGTTGACCCTTTTTCTTGACAGGGCAGCGTTTTTGATTAAATACAACCCCCCCCCCCCCCCCCCCCCCCCCCGGAGCTTCATTGTTATAAACCGTTTGAAGCCAGATACAAGAAACATTTATTTGCTCTAATGTTGGCATAGCAATAAAACAATTATCTATTATACTTTGGAGCCTCTATGTAAATATAAAATATACAATAAGACCTTTGGGCTATTTTATTTAACAGGTTTTTCTACATTTGTCATGCTGTATGGATCCTTACATCCTTGGGGCAGCAGTAGCTCAACACACATTCACACACTGATGGTGATGAGCTACAATGTAGCCACAGCTGCCCTGGGGCTCACTGACAGAGGCGAGGCTGCCGAGCACAGGCGCCACCGGTCCCTCCGACCACCACCAGCAAGGTGGGTTAAGTGTCTCACCCAAGGACACAGCAGCAGAATTCTCTCTCCGGAGCCGGGATCGAACCTGCAACCTTCCGATTACTGGACAACCCGCTCAACCTGTTGAGCTACTGCTGCCCCCAATGATACACTGTAGTGTAAATTGCTTTGGAGTCCTCTGACTCTGAAAGGTGCTATACGAATGCGGGTCATTTATAATTTATCATTCATCACAAGACTTATTCCTGGAGCATTAAATAATTATGCTTATGTATTTAGCAGATGGCCCAAGCTTTTCCAGCTAAACTCGCCATTGAGCAGGGGAGGAAGTTGATGCGGCTGATTCACACATATGGTCCCATTGTTCACATGTTATTGCAAGATTTAATTCTTTCTCCCATCTTTTTTTAATAAAATCGGTTCAAGTACCTTTTCCTTTTATCAAGCCTTGATAAAGTTTAGAAATAAAAGATTTGCGCTTTGTATAAGTCTGCAAAATTAATTGGGTTATCTCATTGTGTTCTACGATGGGTATTTTCAGTACATTTGAAAGAAGATATTGATGTAGTTTTAGGTATCTTAAAAAGTCAGGTTTTCCTAAATCAGATTTTGTTTTCCATAGCCTCATAATCCTCATCACACCACTGTATTATCGTGTTAAGTTGAGCCACAAGGTAATATTCATATAGACTTGGAAGGGACATGCCCCCTTTTCCTCTTGGAATCATTACTATGTACTATATTTACTCTAGGTTTCTGCCCTCTCCAAATAAGGAAAGATATCTGTCTGTTCCTCTCACGCAATTGAGATAGAGGGATCTTTACAGGCAGTGACAAGAGCAGATTTGACAACCTAGGCAGAACTGATATTTTTATAACTTCCATCCTCGAGTTAAAGTCAAATAAACAAGTTACCCAATGCGTCGGGTCTTCTTTAATCTCATTCACCCCCCACCCACCCCCCACCCCCCCTTCCCCGTGTCATGTCTGGCTGTGAAGCAAACATAATTGATGTCTGAATGCTGGTGACAAGCCTTACAGATTTACTCTCAGGTGGAGCATCAAAGTGTCTGCTCTAATGTCATGCCTGATACTTAAAACTTTAATGTTATTGTTTTTTGAATGCTTTGTAATTCCAGCCAGACACGGAGACAGAGGTGAAAGAGAAAGGAAAGACGGGGGTGGGGGGTGGGGTGTGTGTGTGTGTGTGTGTGGGGGGGGGGGGGTCAACAAAAATAATCAATGATGAACAAGAGTCTGCTTCTAGACCTGCAGAAAGAGAAAAACCAACAAAAAATAAGAACAAGCAACAGGAGCAAGCTGTCACTGTGTCAACCTGATGAGGAGATATAAAATCAACATTGTTTTACTGAACAATCACACGATAATAAATCACAGTGCATTTAGTGCCAACCACAGCCTTAAGACATGTGTTGAAAATGCCCAAGTCCATACTTATGAGAGCACCATGTGAGCACCTGTGTGTGTACACACACTTGTATATGTAAGGTTTCTTTATAGGAGTGTCCAATAGAGAGTGTGAGGGGCCACAGATCTGTCCCCAAAGGTGTGTAGAAGATGGAGGGAGCTCCAAGTCCCAGAGATCCAGGAGCTCTCCCAGAGCGCAGGGACCCCAGGGAGACTGTAACCAGAAAAGCCCCTGCCCCCTCTTGAGAGGCACAGAGGATTGCCGCGGGGGAACACAACCAGCAGCCCACAGGCCCGCCTGCAGCCTCCCACCCCCAACCTTTCATCGTTTTATTTATACTTTCAAAGTTTTCCTTATACAGGTCATCTAGAACATACGTCAGTTGTATCCCCAAACAGTGGCGGCTGGCCAGTAGAGGGCGATAGGGCGCCGCCCTCCCAGTTTTTCCGTGGTTTTAATTTTTATTTAAAAAAAATAAATAAATAAAATTAACAATAATCACATATTCTAAGTTAATTGTGTGTTTTGTAACAAAAATAAATCATATATATATATATATTGGTCTCTGCCGGTCTCTGCCGGTCTCTGCCGAGCGGTGGAGGCTGTGTGCTGTTTTTCAATCGCCCAAACAGGACGAGACTAGCTGTCCAATTGCTGACAAGAATATCAAAGGGTAGGAATGGGAATGTATCCAATCAGCGTCGACGTTGTTTCAGAACGTTTCAGAAGCATGATGGGCGATGGAGCTACTGCCAAAGGTTTCGTTGGTGTTCGGTAGAACTCGGCAGAGTCGTTTTTGGTCGTGACGCAGATGTAACATGGACGCCGCCAGTGAGCCTACAACCAGCAAGGATACCGGATCTCAGAAGCCACTGAATTCAGTTCGGTCTCTTCTCCAATATCCGTTCGAGAGGAGAACTATGGTGGAAAAACTTAATGTCAAAGAGCTTGGACCAGATCAGCCCGACGTAAAGATAAGCCAGCAGGAGAAGGAGAGAGGTAAACTGTACACACGAGGCTTCTCCCGAAATTGGTACACCAGGAAGGCTTGGCTAGCTGGATGCAATCACGCTAATGCGTTATTTTGCTTTCCGTGTTTGTTATTCAAAACGGCTGGGACAGATAAGGCATGGATGAGTCAGGAGTTACAGACATGAAACATTTTTCTGAGAAGGTGAAGAAACACGAGTCATCCCGGGCACACATGGACAACAACACTGTGAAGCTAGCCATGCTAGGCAGCAGAGCTAACGTTGCCATGCAGGGAACAACAGCAGCTGGGTGCAGAGGTAAGCTGTACATTACATTTCTGTGAACAAGACAATCAGAATCAGAAATCCTTGGTTGTCCCACAAACCGGGACATTTGTTTAATAACATGTACATTGTTTAATGTGCAATAACTGTAAAAACTAATTTCAACACACATACTTATTATACATATTTAATCACGTAAATGTGTATTTCATGTAAATTTGTACATACATCAATCTGATTCCATTTTACTTGTTACACTTCTGCTGCAGCAAACACATTTCCCAGCTTTTGGGACAATTAAACATTTCTGATTCTCAATCAGATGTTTTTACCTCAAATGTAAAAACATCTGATTGAGAATCAGAAATGTTTTATTGTCCCAAAAACTGGGAATTATGACATTTGTAAGAGGATACTGATGACAATATTTCCTATGAAAGTGTTTCCTATGTACTTATCTGTTGTTTTTTATTTATCATATGACAGGTTTTTCACACCATCCTGAGCCATGCAAAAGAAGATTCTTGTCACCACACCCATGACCACAGCCGAATCAGAAAGGTGCTTTTCTACTTTAAAGAGGATTAAGACTTTCCTTGAGGAACACCATGACACAGGATGGGCTGAATGCTCTTGCCATGCTCTCCATGGAAAAAAAGTTTGTCACAAACATTCCTGACTTCAATAAAAAGCTAATCGAGAGCTTTGCCACTCAGAAGGACAGAAGGGCAAAATTTCTGTACAAATGAGGTATCACACACACACAAATGCATCCACTTGATCTTTGTATAAAGTTGACCTTGGCACAACACTCCAGAAATATTTAACAGTGTAAATTTCTGGCATTTTGTCTAAGTAGTGTTTACTACCATTACTGTAACAGTGACCTGCTCATAATTTTTCGTGTTCACTCAAATGTTGAAATTAAACAAAATGTTTTTGTTACTTGCCTCTAGCATTGCCTATTTACCATTTATGGTCGTGTTATTTTATGTGCAATTTAATGCAGTATTTTTCAACCTTGGTCTGCAAGGCAGCGTGCCAATAGTCAGACACACCTGGATTAATCAGTTTGTCCAATGATGTAAGACAGGAAATAAAAGAGCTGTGCTTAATTCAGGAAATAGTGAAGTTGTGCACAAAGCTCAGAAAGCACAAGTTTGTTTAAAAATAAAAAATAGCACAGCCCCACCAAAAATATTTTTCACCAGCCGCCACTGTCCCCAAATATTTAATTGATTTCTGCGACCAGTCAATAGGAATTTTGTGCTTGACCTCTTTTGAAGGACAGTAGTTGAAACTTATAACTTGTGTTTTACTTATATTTAATTTGTACACTGAATAGGTGCCAAATATATCAAGCAGTTCAAGTAGGGCCTGAATGGACTGTTCCGGGTTAGAAAAATATAGTAGGATATCATCAGCATATAATGCTATTTGGTGTTCTCTTGAATTAATTCTAATGCCATGAATTTTATTATTTTCTATTATTGCCTGAGCTAGAGGTTCTATGTACAAGGGAAAGAGAGTTGGGGATAACAAGCAACCTTGTTGCCTGGACCGCTCTAGCTTTATCTGGTCTGTTAGATGGCCACTTATCTTAACTCTTGCAGTGGGGGCAGAATACAATTGATTGAACTTTCAGAGAAGCCAAATCTTTCCAGGACTAAAAACAAATATTTCCAGCTAACACAGTCAAATGCCTTTTCAGCATCTAGACTGAGCAAAACTGCATTATTTTTATGTTCCTGTATATCATGAATTATGTGAAAAGAACGTCTTATATTGTCCTGGGTTTGTCTGTCACTGACAAAGCCGGTCTGATCATTGTCTATCAACTCTGAGACAAACAGATTCAGTCTGTTGGATATGAGGGTTGCATACAGTTTTAATCTTGGTTCAGCACCAATATTGGTCTATATAAACTGCACAATGTTCTATTCTTACCTTATTTTGGTATGACAGATACAAATGCTTCAGACCATGATGGAAGTGTAATCATTTTTGTCAATGTCCAGTTTATTGACCTTAATAGTTCTTCTTCAAGCGTCTTATACCATTCTACTGGCAGGCCATCTGAACCATTTTTAAGTTTTTTAATCGTTATCTCCAATTCCCTTTACTTTATAGGCTTAGCTAGACATTCATTGTGATATTCTCAGAATGAGAGTAAATCTAATGAGTTAAGAAATGTTGCTTCTTCTAGATTATTTTGTTCCGATTGTGTGTATAATATTTTTTAAATATTTTTACTGAAAGAAGAAAAACAACAGTACCTGCAGTTAACAAAATACAATTAACCTCTCTTCATTTTTCTAGGTAAATAACAACAACAAGACAACTAAACACAAAAACATACCAAAACAGAAAAAAAAAAAAAAAAGAGAGACCCCCCCCCCCCCCCCCCGTCCCACCCGGTTCAACACACCCAACAAACATTATTACCGGAATATAACAATAACAGAAGTACATTTAAACAGGTAATACCTCTAAACTAGTAAAATAAGAGATAAAGGGTTGCCACTTGTGAAACAATTTGGCCGTGCAACCTCTCAACGTATATTTAATTTTTTCAAGTAAAAAAAAACATGACATCTTTAAGCCACTGGGAAACAGTAGGGCACTTAGCAGACTTCCAATGCAACAATATTAGACGTCTCACTAATAGGGATGTAAAGGCAATTATATCCTTTTGTGTGGAGTCCAATATAAGTGAGCGATCAGGAATCCCGGATACTGCAATCAGAGGACAAGGATGAAGAGTTATCCCAAGAACAGTTGACATAATAGCAAAATACCCTATCCAAAAACCTTGTAGCTCGGGGCACAAAAAAAAAAAATACGTGGCTAAGGTGACAAGGAGAACCCTGGCATTTATCACATTTATTTTCCACTTCTGGGTACAGTTGAGAAAGTCTAGACTTAGAGAAATGCACCCTATGAATAACCTTAAATTGAATAAGTCCAAGACGAGCGCAGGAGGTGGAAGGTCGTACCCTTGCTATAGCCTGTTCCCAAGACTCCTCATGTAATCGAATTCCTAGTTCTCCTTCCCATATACATCTAAGCCTAACCTTAGAGTGGTTACTAAAAGACAGAATAACATCATAGAGTTTCGAAATGGTTCCTCTGTGATGAGGAATAAAAGATAACGTATTTCCCCACCGCTGTTCCGGAGGTAAAGAGGGGAAATTTGGAAAACACTTGGCAACAAAATTTGGAATTTGAAAATAGCGAAACAAATGGGTAGTAGAGAGATTATAACGAGAAGACAAATTGGAAAAACTATCGAATACACCATCCACATATAAATGTTTAAACTGTTCTATAACTTTGTCACGCCACACTGAGAATGTCGAGTCCAAAAGAGAAGGGGGAAACAAGTGATTGTCGCTTAGAGGACCCGAGGAAGATGGCATTAGAAAATTAAAGTGCCGTCTAAACTGAAACCAGATTTTGAGTGTGTTAAGAACCACCGGATTATCAGTATACAGAGAGGGTTTTACGGGTAAAGAGGAATAGAGCAAAGCTGGTGAAGAAGAGCTCTTACATGATGATAGCTCCAATTTACACCACAAGGAACCAGAAGATTTTAGACAGTAGCAAAGTTTATGGATGTGAGCGGCCCAGTAGTAAGCTAGAAAATTAGGTAATGCAAGTCCTCCACTAAATCTGCATTGCTGCAGCAAAGTTCTAGAAACCCTGGGCGGCTTCCCTCCCCAAATGCAAAGTTCTCCTAAATGAATAAACATAAACATAAAAATGAAAGAACCAATAATCTTGTCCAGTGAAGCAAAGAAATGTTTCGGCAGAAATAAGGGAATTGACTGAAATAAAAATAAAAATTTTGGTAAGATGTTCATTTTAACAACATTAATCTTACCGATTAAAGAAAGGGGGAGACTACCCCATCTTTGAATATCAGATGTGAGCCTAGAAAGAAGAGGAGACAAATTTGCTGATTCAAGGCCAGATAAAGAGCGAGTCACGTTAACCCCTAAGTACTTAAACCCAGAGGGACTGAGACGAAAAGGTAGATTGGACTGTTGAAGTTGACGTGCTGCCATATTAACAGGAAAACACTCACTTTTCCCTAAATTTAATTTATAACCTGAAAATGATCTGAAATTCTCCAGAATACTTAAAACAGCAGGGATGGAGCGAGCAGGGTCAGTCATATATAATAACAAGTCATCCATATACAATGACACTTTATGAGTAGTTCCATTACGGATGATTCCCGTGAATACAGAAGATCTTAATGTAATGGACAGCGGCTCGATGGCAAGGGCAAAGAGTAAAGGTGACAAAGGGCAACCTTGACGACAACCACGACCCAGCGCAAAATAATCAGAGTAAACATTATTAGTATGAACACTGGCTTTAGGGGAAGAATAAAGAAGCCGAATTCAGGAAATGAACCTATCACCAAAACCAAATTTTTCCAAAATCGCAAACAAGTATTCCCACTCCACCCTATCGAAAGCCTTTTCAGCATCCAAAGAAATCACAAGTTCAGGAAGCTGAGCTAAATGCTTTGAGTAAATAACATTAAAGAGTGTACAGGTATTAAAAAACAATTGCCGTCCCTTCATAAAGCCGTTCTGCTCTTCAGATATAATTTGAGGAAGCACATCCTCAAGGCGAGATGCAATTACTTTAGCCAATACCTTTGCATCGGCATTAAGCAGAGATAATGGCCTGTACAAACCACAAGAGGTTGGGTCCTTATCATTTTGGAGAAGGAGCACTATGGTAGCCTGCGTGAAAGTAGGTGGTAGTAAACCTGATTCCAAGGACTCGTTAAACACTGACAAAAGCAATGGTGCCAGTTTACCAATAAATGTTTTATAAAATTCAATTGGAAATCCATCCGGGTCTGGGGCTTTATTAGGCTGCATAACTGTAATAGCTTTTAATACTTCTTCAGCAGATAATAGGGAGTCCAATTGCCCGGCCTTATCAGCACAAATAACAGGGTTTGAAAGTGACTGAAGAAATTAATTCATTTTAGCTTTATCCGTGGGAAATTCTGACTTGTACAACAAAGAGTAAAATGTTTTAAAGGTAGATCTGATTTCCAAGGGATCTGTAGTAATATTGTCATAAGGGCTTTTAATACTGGGTATCACTGGCGAGGAGGCCTGACGTCGTAACTGATGTGCCAACAAGCGATTAGCCTTGTCACCGTATTCATAATATGAGCCACGGCTGCATAGTAATAAGTGCTCAGCTTCTTTGGTTGACATAAGATCAAAATCTGCTTGCAAATTAAAGCGCTGCTTCAGTAATTCTGGAGAAGGGTTCAGTACATAACTTTGATCAAAATTACTAATTGCAGCTGTAAGTTCTTTAAGCCTGGCATTAATCTTTTTATTAGCATGAACAGAGTAAGAAATAATCTGACCCCTCAAATAGCATTTAAGAGTCTCCCACAGCAGAGAATATGAAACCGAATCATCCTGATTGGACAAAAACTCCTCAATAGAGCTTGAAATAAATTCACAACATTCTTTATCCGCCAGGAGGGAATTAAATCCCCAAAGTGAAGGACTACGTTTATAGGTAGAGAATTGAACATCCAATAGCAGAGGAGAGTGATCAGATATTACAATACCAGAATAGTCGGAGGAAGTAACACATGAATTGAGAGTTCTGTCGATGAAAAAATAATCAATCCTGGAATAAGATTGGTGGACCTGGGAAAAAAATGAAAATTTTTTGATTGAAGGATTGCGAAGTCTCCATGGATCAACAAGCTCATTCTGTTTCATAAAATCTGAGAATGTTTTAGACATAGATGATAGAGTCAACTTACGAGGACCAGAACGATCCAAGCTTGGATCAAAAACACAGTTCAGATCACCACCGAGAATAAGCAAATGTGTATTCAAATAGAGGATGCTACTCAACAATCTATTAGCGAATTCAGCATCATCAAAATT